CTTTAAAAAATCATATTATTGGGCCGTACAATTTCACTAAATTTTTTTTTTTCCGCCCTTAATCATAACATAAAAGCTTGAGAATCAGATTTTATTGCTTAAATAATTTTTTTTGCTTATTTTATCCTTATTGTAATAAATAATTAATTTATCAATAAAATTAAAAAATTAATGACAACTAAATTATTTTTTAAAATATTGAGTATTCAAATTTAAATTATGAAAACCTTGAAATAATTGATTTTGAAATGTATACTTTAATTTGAGGTCTTAAACTATAGCTTCTTCTTTTTTAGAAAAATAATGATTAATAATTTGGTATATAAATTATTATTTTTAAATAATAAAACCTGTATATTTATGTTCAGCTTGGAAAAATTGAATTGGAAGGCCGCAGCAGGGAAAGCCAAGATCATCGACCGTTGCCGGAATTTGTGGGGCCATACTTCTGACATTCTACGAAGGTGCATGAATTCCCACTCCCTTGTTCCATGTCAGCCTTTTGCATCCCCACAACAACCACGTGGCATCCTCCCACTCCTCAGGCGGTGGTAATACCCTCTTTTATTCTTGAGAAGTTAAAGCTTTTAGTAAGAAAAGAAACAAGAGAATTCCATTATTTCTCAAGAAATTTAACTCTCCATTTACCTTCGCCCAAACGTCCATGGATTTAATGAAAATATCAAACCCAATGAATGTACGTTGGATATAATGACTTGTGATATTATATGTTAGTTTAAGTTTTTACTTATGCTTAATTGCTTTCATATATATAACACTTCTTTGGTTTTAAATTATAAGACACTTTTAAATAAAATCTCACATACCAATAAATCTCATTAAATACACTTAACAATTTTATCTTTTCAAAATAAAAATATAAACTTTTTAAAATACCCATTATTTAATATAATAAAAAGAGAAGTGATGAAAATTAATTATAGAGACAGAAAGGGTAATATTGAAATTGAAATATTTAATAAAACCTTAATCTACTCAAAGTGTCTTATATTTTGGGACGGAAAAACTCCTTCAAAAGTATCTTATAATTTGGGATGGAGGGAGTAGTTAACTATTACTATGAAACAAGTGCTTTAAAGTTTTTTAATTTATGTTGTTCTATATTACTTAAGATTTGGAAATATAATTTGTGTACATTAAAGTTATTTTATACTATCATAATTTTTTTATCTTGAATTGATTTTATATCCAAGAGTGATTCGTAGTATTATCTCTCATAATTTGAATATATGCATATTGACACTTGGACTAATAATTTTATTCACAATATATCATTTAAGGTTATTTAAAGTAAAGATGAGAGTAAGCATGAAGAGAAACAAAGTTGAAATCATCATCTACATGCTACACTCATGATTGAAGAAAATAAAGATAAAGAGAAAGATAATCCAGAAGAGCTTAAGAAGAATGAAAAAATTCATATAAGCTTGGATGTACCTTAGAAGCCTTAGAATTGATAGGTATAATATCATTAGGCTAGAAGTCTTTATATTAACTCATTGATTTAGATATAAAGTATCGGCTCAAGAAATCTTAAATCAAATATGCATTTTAGCTTTTAAGAGAAAGTATGAGATATAATTTTCTATAATCATAGTTTTCATCTTTCATCACATACGTCTCACAAAGTTTGACATGTTTTATTTACTAACTTCATAAAGTTTTCAAAGTTATTCTATTTACTCAAAATGAAGTTAAGTTGAAAAATTCATGAATACTTGAAGCTTTGAAATGTGAATTGTGCAGAAAATTAGTTTTGACCTTTGGTCATATTTTGTCTCATATCTCTCACTACAAAGATAATTTTAATGTGAAACATATATCTCATTTGAAAATAGACTCCAATAACTTTTCAATGATAGTTTATTTATTTAAAATAAAGTTCTATCAAGAAAGATATAAATTTTAGAAGTTGAGTGTTGAGATATTAATTTTGCACAGCTTTCAGTCTTGAACTCTTTTGATCATATCTCAAAATATACATTGAATTTGAGTGTGAATTATTTTATTGAGAACTAAACTTCAAGAGCTTTCCAATTGTATATAATTTGTCAAATTTGGAGTTGTATTAAGTGAGTTAGGACTTTAAGAAGTTTTGCACAGTGAAACTACAGAATCACAGGTGAGAGCAGTAAGCAACCATGCAATGCACCAGTGCAAAAAGTCTGCGAACACTTTGCATCACGCGTGAAACACTCACTTATTTTCACACTAAATAACTTCTTTGATGCTTACATACTGAAACAACATAACATACAAGATAAATGACCTCCATAGCCTCATTTTCACTGAATAAGTTTTACAAGCCAATCATGCTTGAGGCACTCCAAAAGTCACGTGATATAGATGTCAATTTTTGCTTAAAAAACCTCCAAACATGCATGAAATTAGCACTGAAAACTCACAAAAAAATACACCAACAATTAATTCACTTTGTAAGGTTCTTAACAATCATTTGATATTTCTAACACTTATTTCACTTCATAAGCTATAAATTTAACACTCAACTCATCTTAACAAAAGATTAACCTTAGGAATTATTGAGCTATGAAATTCATAGTCATATTACTCTCGTTTTATGAAAATCATTGTACTTGAGTCAATACTATTTATATCTTCATCATTTTTAGGTGTAGAGTTTCATTGTACTCATCATTACTCTTAGAGAAAGTTTCAAGTAAGTGATTCATATACTCAAAACCCTTTGTAAAGGTGAGGAAGAGATTTACTTTGGAATCAAGAGAGGTTGTTCCTTGAGAGAAGAAGCTAATTAGTAAAATGAGTTATTGTAAAGCTCACAAGTGCCTAAATTGAACTTGTTGATATACTAAGGTGTCAAGTACCCATTCAAACCTTGTGTTATAATAAAAAAATCTCAAGTAGTTGCTTAGGGACTGGATATATGATTAAGAGGAGGAGCTAAACCAAGATAAATCCTGTTTGCAATCCCTTTTCTCTTAACTCTTTATATTTTCAGCAACCTTAGCTTGTGCTATGTTTCATCAGCTTTTAAAATATAATTGTGATATATTTACATGCTCTTACTCAAACTTACACGTAAGATTGCTTCTAAACATTCTTATACATATTGAGCTTGTGTAAACAACTTTGGCATTTTTACATATGTAGTTTAGAACTCAAATTTTTTAAAACTTTTTTTTGAACATAGGTTTGCTGAAAAGGATTTAAAAGAATTAAAATTTTCCTCAACATCCAATTCACTCTCTCTCTCTTGAGTGGTTTTGTCATATCTAACAATGCATCCCAAAAGAACCAGAAAGCATAAGTGAAGATAAGCATCGGAATCCCACCTCCGATTTCCTCAGTTCATGTCACTGGTGAAGAAAGAAACTCCATGGCAAAGACATCCATATATGTACAGGTACCAGATTTGATGACCGGAGGGCTGATACAGCAGGAAAGTGCTTAGCAGGAAGGGAGATGGGAAGAAGATGCTGAGGGACAATCTAATATTAGAAATAAAAATTACTTACCCCAAAGTCCCTTTTAGGACTTCAAATTGATTTCTCCATTTCATGGGATCTTGAAGTAATTAAAGTCCTTCTATGAATTCAATAATTAATTTTTCCGAAGAAAAATTCACTGGTAAAAAGTCATCTCAATTTAATTTCACAAGCTCTCAAATTTTCAACAGTCTAATCTTTTGATTTGTTTATTGGTCTGGGCATGATAAAGCAATATTAAACCTAATTGTCCATCCCAAATTGAAATTAAATTAAAGTATAATTGCCAATATAAATTTTTCTCTTAGTCTTAGGAATGTTTATTATATTAGTAATTATAAATTGTTAAGGCAAGTGTTTCAAAGACATACGCACAACACATAAGGAAGCCACTGACCTATAAAATACATGGAGAATGACCTAGAGGTCTCCTATTAGGTTTTAAGTATCAAATTTTATGAATTTACAAGTTTTGGCTCTAATTAATTTTATTATTTTTTGTGATAAATTTGTAACTTGTGTTTTGAATTTTAACAGGAAAAACAAATTTATTTATTTCTTAACTATATTAAAATTGGAATATAAGTTATAAATTCATACAAATAAGGTACAAAATAAGAGACAAACTTACAAATATCTAAAGTTTGACACTTGAGACTTATTTTGAATTAATTAGCCCTTTTGGACCTATCTGTCCTCCCACATATACACATGTACGACACTCATGTCAATATAATAATTTGTACAAAACTTAAAATGAGTGAGATTATCAATGCTTTATAATTTTTTTCATACATTAATTCAAATATCAATATTTGTGCTTCTGGATATATGGATGCAGTTACATTGACATTGAGACAACGCACACCGCGTTAATATATTGAGTTGCACTGCATGTAGGGAATATAGTAGAATGCGACGTCTAGCAGTGTCGATCACTACGGGGGAGTGCTGATAATGAGAGCTTTTATTTTCAGTTTGTTTACCATTCAGTGAACCTGAAGTGGCTGAGAAGCACTATCACAGCGAACTTGAATAAATTTTTTTTATTGATTTTGTTAATAATGGAAGAATCCCTGCCACTAATATTTCATAACTTTAAAAATATAGATAATAAATTTTATTATTTTTTAAGTAGATTAAAAATTTAATGTTTTATTAATGGGTTAAGATGCAAAAATACCCATAAATTTTTTCTCCAACCTTTTAGTATTTTAAGTCAACAATGAAATATAGGCACCAATGAACTTTATAAATGAGATCAATATTTTTCAATCTGTTAACTTCTATCTTTAAAATTCATAGTCAATGTCATGCTATTTTATTAAATTATTGGGGATGTTGACATTTTTTATAAAATTAATGGGTGTTCATGCATCATTATCAACTTAAAAGTATCAGAAATTTTGAAAAAAAAAGTTTTAATTATTTTTGTACTTGACCCATTAATTTTTAAGAGTTATGTTTTTCTATAAATAGCGCACCCCATATTACACCCAAACACACAAACACACCTTCACTTGTGCCTCGCCTCATTGCTCCCTTTCTATCTCTGATCTGTCTAAATCGCTCACCGTCAGAACAGCTGGTAGGGCCAGCCGTCGCCGGTGGCGGAGGAAGAGACGATGAGGGACGTGAGTGAGGTGGTGGATGGGTTGAAACCAACCATACTAATGGTGGTGGTTCAGATACTGTACGTTGGGATTAACATTCTTTACAAACTCGTCGTGTACGATGGCATGAACTTGCGAATTGTCATAGCTTATCGTTTTGTCTTCGCCACAGCTTTCATGGCTCCTCTTGCTTTCATTTTCGAAAGGTACTTCCCTTTATTATTCATTTTCTTCTCAGCAACATTTCTGCGTCAAGTATGATGAACTCTTGCTGTTGATAAGCTTAATTAGCTTCTTTTCTTATGGAGCTATGAGTTTCACGGAGTCTGAAAAATGAGGTACTATTTATATCTCATAAAGTAGTGAAACTTGTTAAAGCTTTTATTATATTTTGTATAGAGTATAACAGTACTATTGAGCTGATTAATGCTTGCGACTTGTTTGCAGGAAGAAGAGGACAAAGATGACTTGGACAATACTGTTTCAGGGGCTTATATCTGGCTTATTTGGGTATTAATTAATTCATCACTATTGTTTTAGTTTTCGTATTATCTTTATATTGCTTGACTTGATTTTAACTATTGTATTGAAAAGAGAACAGTGAATCTTAATTAATTCAATGAAATGTTTTGTTCTAGTGATGGATCCAAAAAGATAAACTAGTGGGGCAAAATTTATATTTAAAATAAATATTCATATTTTATGAAAACATTTTAAAATATTTATAAAAATTATAGTAAGGATATGACATAATAAAATTAAATACTAAAAGAATGCATAAAATATAAAACTATAATAAAATAAAAGACTATCTGTTAAAGAGATAAATTTTTTAGTCTTTTAGGCCATAAGATTATGTACTCTTTTCATTTAAAATGTAAGGCATTTTTTGAAGAGTTAGATATTAAAAAATATAAGGTATTTTTATTCTTTCTATGTGTTATCATTGCTTTTTTTTTTCAAAAATATCTCTATTGAATAAATTATTTTATATTTATTTTAAAGTAAAACACCATTTAAAATATATGTAAATATGAAAGGACATGGTTAATTTAGAGATGAGTAACTACTTTTATTAAAAGTAAAATTTTATTAAAAATACCTTATATTTTTTAACAAAGGGAGTAAATTTTTGTACGGGGCAAGTGAATTCTTTTAAAATGTTAGGGGCAAATGAAATTTTTAAAAGGGACTTACAATATTTTTGGGCCTTGTTATATAATATTTCTCGGCTTGTGAGGGCAGGTATCCCAATAGCTTCAACTTTGGTATGGTTTAACTATTTTTTATGTTAACTTTTTAAACAGTGACCAATTTATTTTGCTTTTAGTGTAACTAGCCACGATCCGGTACGTTGCACGAATTGATCAATTTTAAAGACACAAATTTAATTAATGATAGTTTAGTTCAGATAATTTTAATCATAATATGTGGCAGGTGGTCAAGAAGGAAATGAAGTATTACTTAACAAAAACTATTGCATTTGATAAAAAAAATATTTAATAAGAATGTCATTCTTCATTGCATACGCAATTCAAAATCAAATCTCACAAAAAAATGAGCTATAGTCTTTCGTGTAATTTATATGTAATATTTTATTAGATTTTGCTTTTAGTTTCTATAATTATTTTCAATGTTTGTGATCCTTATAGTCTTTATAATTTAATATCATTAAGGACCTAAGAAACAAGCATAAACTAATTTACTGAAATTATAGGGACTAAAAATGTTAAAAAAACTACAGAGACTAAAAGAAAAAACCCAATAAAACTATAGAGAGCAACAATTATATACGTTTTTCCTTATTATAATCATCACTTATTTTGGTGGATTGATTGATCTACCTTTGTGAGGGATCAATATTAATATCTTGTTTATTATTTTTTCATTTACTATTTATAGATTAAATTTTACATAAATTTCCCTTGAGATTTGAATCGTGTATAGATAAAATAATATGTCTTTGACCTTCAAATCAAACCAGCTTAACAATAAATTTCCATAAACTTTTAAGCTTGTTCAGCCAACCCTCTTGTTATTTTTTTTGTCATTTTACTATAGAGCATGATATAAACGGTGACGAATTCATTATCCGGACACAACTAAAAGGTCATAGAGTCATGTTCGGATAAATCAAACTTTAAGCGAATCATTCAAATTTCAATCAAAATAGCAGTCTAATGAAAATGTTGAGGAATCAAGAAAAAATTTTAGTTCGTAGGTTAAACTTTTTAAAGAAAAATAGCTTTAATTAAGAGAGTTAGACAAATTTCGCAATCCTGATTAATATATAAAATTTGAAAAAATAATAATAATAATTATATTGTTTATGATTTGTGAATAACACAGGGGAACATTGGCACAAACGTTATATTTGGCGACGTTGGCCTTAACAACAGCAACGTTTGCATCGGCAATGAACAATCTCACTCCAGCCATTACCTTTGTCATGGCCCTCTTCTTCGGGTAAATCAAAGTTTCTTTGCAATCATGTGCAATTACCATTTTCTCCTCACCAAAAAAGCAGCTTTTAGTGAAATTTATTTTAAAGTAGGTTTCTTTAGTTTATTGATTGTTTCTATCATCTCTGGTCACATTCTCATTTCATTTTAACTAATGAGCTTAATTGTGTAGTTGGTAGTTGCAGTACGATATCACTTGCTCCTGACTACTTTTGTTAGAGATTTCCTACTTGGCTTCCACTAGTTTCACTTTCTTTTTTCGTTTTTTGTTTTTGATAAAACTAGTTTCACTTTCATTCCTTGGTAGGCGATAATTTTGCAAATAAGTACGTTTATAATAAGAAAATATTAAGTTTTAAAAAACTTTGTAATTGCTTCTAGAAATATAAATGAAAATTCATTTAAATAGTAGGATTAATAGCATTTTTGACTCTAAACTAGTGCGTAAAGAGTATCATAGATCTTAAATTCTTAAAATGTAAAAAAATTTCCTCAACTTCTAAACTCCAAATGTTCGAAACCTCACCGTTAAATTAAAAAAAAATAGCCGTTACTTTTGTAATTGTGGGATTCAGTCTAACGTTAATATGACACTCATCTTAACCCTTAAAAATAATAGTCATTTTCTCCAACTTAATGATAAGGTTTCAAGCACTCGGAATTTAAAAGTTGATGAAAGTCTTTGCACATTTCAAAAGTTTAATGCCCATGATACTATTTGCACAATAATTTAGAGTTTATAATGCTTATTAATCCTAAATATTATAAGAAAATTTATGGTTCAAGTTTAAATTTAAACTTTCCTTGAAGGTGCTTTTAATTTTTTTTTCTCCTTTATTATTCTCTCAAGTCTCACTTAAGATTCAAATCAGTCCTTATATTTATGAATTGCTAAAAAATATTTAGCTTTTAGCTTGATTGTTGCTACTCTATTTTTGTTTATATTATTTGATCATGTAGATGACACAATTTAATTTCAGTAATAAAATTACAAGATAGCGAAAAGTTTTATGAATAATAACTAATTGAATTAAAAATTCTGTAAAATAGTAAAAACCAATAATAAATTATTAAAATTTGAATGAAATTATAAATATTTAAATATTATTTTCTTAAGCTTACCAAAAAAAATATTTTTTAATATTTTAACGTAAGGTCTTAAACTGTAATTTCTTCTTCTTTTTTTTTTTTTCAAGAACACTGACTAAATTTGTTAATTAAAATTTAATTCCCTTTTATGGCCAGCTTAAAAGTTCAACTGGAGAGCAGCAGCAGGGAAAGCTAAGATGATTGGAACCCTTATAGGAATTGCTGGGGCCATGCTTCTAACATTCTACAAAGGAGCACGAATCCCCACTCCCTCCTTCCACGTCATCGCTTTACACCCCCACAGTAGCCACATGGCATCTTCCCACATTTCCTCCAGCGGTAACACCCTCTTGGGTGCACTCTGTGCCTTGGGCGGTATCTGCTCGTTTTCTTTGTGGCTCATGGTTCAGGTCCCTCGTCATCCATTGCTCTAACATTGTCGTTTTGGTTCTTCACGTTGTCGTTTACCAAAAGTTACCAATCTTTTTTTTTTTTTCCTTTTTGTATTGTACAGAGCAAGATGAGTGAGAAATATCCATGTCATTACTCAAGCACGACATTGATGAGTTTGTCAGCTTCAGTGTTTTCTACTGCCTTTGCTCTGTGCACTGAAAGAGATTGGGCTCAATGGAAATTAGGTTGGAATATAAGGCTCTTAACTGTGGCTTATGCGGTATGTTCACTCTTTCTTTGTTTTTCAGGAATCAATCTAATTGTATTTACAACTCATCACACTCTCACACTTTAATGAAAGATTACAACTACATATAGTGTCATTGAGTACTCTAATTTATTATGCGGGCTAGGGTATTAATTTATGCTAACATCAATTATTATGCATACACAAATTTTCAAAACTAGATCGGATTGGCCGTTCAACCAATTGGACTGAGAACCAGCTCTAAGTCCAGTCCATCATAACTCAAAAAAACCAACCTATACAGAAACAGTTAGAGACAAACTGAACAAGTCAAAACTTGAGACAAATTTTGTAAATTCAGGCAATACAACCCCCTTAATTAAATCTGATTTCTGCAGATAAAATGGTATCTAATTTCCTATTTTAAGTTAAATCTAATTTTCTCACACACACAGAATCCAGTTAAATACATCAATGTTAAAATCAAATGTGTGGCTATAGTTAATTATTTGTGTGTGTGTAGGGACTGGTGCCAGCAGGAGTGAATGTGGTGATGATAGCATGGTGTGTACACAAAAGAGGGCCTTTGTTCGTATCAGTGTTCAGTCCTCTCTTGCTTTTGTTTTTGGTTTTTGTTGGATCTTTCTTTATGGACGAGATGCTTCATCTTGGAAGGTATATATATTTCTGCACCTTCAATTTATTGATAAATGACAATTTGAGACCAACTGAGAAAGATAATGATGCTTTAGGATTCAAAATTTTAAAATGTCTATTAAAAACTAAGTTTTTAACGCAACATTTATAAAAAGAGCAAGTCAATGGATAAAAATGTCTCAATTTAGATATAAGTTGGAGATTGGAGATTCTCAAAACCCGAGATGGAAATTATGAAAACTTAGTTAAAATTATTTTTTATCAGCAACAACAATTAGCTTGTTCATAATAAGTGAGGTCAGCTTCATCAATCATACTACGCCAAAGTGTACTTAATGATACACACCCACCCACCCCAACAAGCATTGATTTTAATGAAAGTGATTATGATTAACATAAGGTTTTGAGATTATGCATAAATGCAGAAAATGTTTTTGAAAGAATTTTCTCAATTAAGCTTGACAATGCTCAAATCTTACCAAGTCAAGTAGGGCCATATATAAAATACATAAAACAAAAAGCGTCTTCCCTTTGAGGTCAATTATATGAATTGTGAAATTTGGATTCTAAAAACAATTACCTTTTCATATAGAAACGTATAATATTTTTTTTTGTATCACTTTATTTCCAAATATGCCAATCTAAGTAGAGAATTAAGGTTG